TACTTTTTTTCTGTTTCCGCGGTGCACGTAGGTAGGAAATTTCACTTTCAACTGTGTAACCAGACATTTGTATGCGCATAAAAATATTAATGACTTGAAAAATATAATAAAAATTAAAAAGTTAAATTCAAAACTAAAAGTTTACTTCTCCAAGCGCCCTCGCTTGATTTGAATCGCGGTAGCGAAGCAGTCAATGGCACTGTGAATATTCTTCGAAATTATAGAGAAAATGCTGACACACATTTTTCTGATATGTTTTCAAAAGTTACCGATATCGCTAAGGAATTGGATTTTGACATTGTTCTTCCTCGGAGAGCTAATAGACAAAATTTTCGGGCTTATTATCGTGCGTCTAACGCTGAATATTATTATCGAAAGGCAATATTTATACCTCTATTGGATAATATTTTGATTGATCTCCTGGAAAGATTGCCGAAAGAGACATTAAACATTTTTGATTTGAACTTATTACTTCCATCTAAAATTGGGGAATATAATACGCCTGACGAAAAAAATAATGCTGTCGAACGCGTAAAATCGCTTAGAAAACGATACGAACTTTTCTTAGAAAAAGACGGTATCCATTTGGAAGGAGAGTATCAAGTGTGGTTGGAACGATGGACAAATAAGGAAGGCGAAACGCCAATCCCAAAATCAGCAGCAGTTGCTTTTCCATTGATTAACAAACTTCTCCACATTCTGGTCACACTTCCAGCTAGTAACGCTACTTCCGAAAGAAGTTTTTCAACCCTTCGCCGGTTAAAAACATGGTTGCGTAGTACCATGAAAGATTCGCAAAAGGAAAATGCAAAATTGAATTTCCAATTTAAATTATTACAATAAAAATTCTGAACAAGTTACTAAGTTACTTAATTACATCCTTCATTTTACCAAAATTGTAAGCAAGAAATAAGAATTTATATGTAAACATTGCATTAATAAACCCAAGGTATAACTTTACATCTTGTTGTTTTTTTTAAATAGTACATGCAATTATTTTATTAGACCTTGCACCAAATTCAAAAAATGAAAAGTAATATTATATCACAAAACACTTTACTTCACACTTCATAAAAATACTCGAACCTATATTTGCATGAAAAATAAATTAGGGTTAGATGCCTGTAATTTAACGTTATTTGACAAGTTAATCCCAATAGCCCCCCTAAAATAAAATCCTGTATCCGCCACTGTACTAGTTGAGGAAAGGGAAGGCGGTGGAGGCTTTGAAGACGATGCCACCACTTCAATGGGGGAAGGGAAAGACACTTCATTTATTATTATTCGAAGCAGAATTCGATACACGTTTTTTTTTGAGGCTGAGGATTCTGATGTTGGAGGGCATGGAGAAGGAAGATTAATTAAGTCAGTCGAAAAATTGTTCTGACGTGGAACGGTAATAATTTCCTTAGATGGACTATTAAGACGCTTACGTTTAGACACACGGATATCCTTAACAGATTACAAGGTATCTAAGCATTTAAAAGATGTGTACATGAAATTATTCGTCGATTATTACTAAAATATGATATAAATATATACTTGTAACTCAAGGGCGTTAAATTTTATTGAAAATAGCGCATCAATTACTATTTTTGAAATAGTAAATGGAGCATTTCAATGCTTTTATATCTAAATTTAATTTTTGTTTCAGGGATATAATGTGTGGTTCTGCCTCATCCGCCGCTAAGTTTACGTTGAAGTCATAAATACATATACCATACCAACTTTTGGTTGCAAAATACGAAGTCAAATTCATTTGTTCGGCCTTCTTCTTCTCCTTGCGCAATCTTGTATTCCTATTATCCATACATTTATATGTATGTATGTACAAATATGTTCATAGGTTATCAACGGACTCAAATGAAAATTATTTCAGTATTTTTTAAATTTTCGCCTTGCTTTTTATTAATACACTTCAGTAGCGCATATGCCTTAAACTATGCAACGTTTACAAAACGACTTGCAACAAATGAAATCAAAAATAAAGCGCAATTAATTCCTTTTCTTACAAATGCCGGTTCTGGATCTGAGATCGCAGGTTCCAGTCCTTTTGGAGGTGGTTAAGATTTTTCAAATTAAATCAGTGTAAGTCAATATAATTATTTCAATTTAAATATAAGTAACAAATTTGAAAATCTAATATCATTGCAGAAAAAAACATACATATGAAAATAAATACTTGTGCCATTAAAATATTTATTAAAAAATACGTATTTTTAGGACTTTAAACAGGGACCTCAGGAATACAACGCCAGTGCTGTGCCATTGCGACTGTTGGAGCGCCGGGTACGTGCATATCGGCATACAAACATATCTCTCTATGTACCTAGTTCATATGCATGCGCTGTGTTTGCAAAATAGGAAGTCAAATTCATTTGTACGGCATTTCCTCTTACTCTGCATATATCTAAAACTATGCAACTAATATTACAACCACTTGCAATAGCAATTAAAAACCGTTTGCTTCTAATGAATTTAAAAATTGTCTGCAGCAATACACTGCGCTGGGCTAAGGTGTTATATCTTCTAAAATTTTACCCATTCCCCAAATTTATTCCGCACTTACATGTAGAAATCCAGAATAGCCCACGCCATTCTTTGTCTTTATACGCAGTTGAATTTTTTGTGACAAAATAATATTTTTCTATACCTACGTTCATATATTTACGAATTGTAAGTCTGAAATAGTAGAGTATATAATTAATTTGCGATTTTTGGTGCCGTTCTGTTTTAAATAAATTAGGTTAGGTTAGGTTAGGATAACTCGGCTGCCCTAATCCTACAGGAAAAGGGGCACACTTAGGCCACCATGGGCCCGTAGTGGTGCCGTACAAGAGACTCCATATGTCCCTCCTCTTACCCTACTAATGGAACCATTTCGTAGCTCTGATGAAGCGCACAAAGTCATAGACGCTGGCTGAATCCAGTTCGCCCAGACATTCAAAAGAAAAATGGAGGAACGAGCATCGGCGAGCTTTCGCCAGAGCAGGACAGTGGCATAAGTAATGCTCCACGCTTTCGACTTCCTCCTCATCGTGGCAGCTACGACAGTAGTCGTTTGACTGCAAACCCATTCTTGTGGCGTGGATTCCCATCAGACAATTCCTGGTGAGAACTCCAATAACATGCCGCAACAGTGGTCGCTCCAATTGGAGGAGAGGGCGAGATCTACGCTTGTCCAGCTGAGGCCAGATATGTCTTGCTATCCTGCAAGTAGGCTCCGCAGACCATCTTATATTAGCCCGTCCGACAAAGTTATTCTCCAGCCAGAGCTTGCAAGAAGATAGCGGATGTCTTTGTGGCCTGGAACCCACACAACATTAGTGACCTAACACCTTGCCAGTTCATTAAGAGTACGTCTACATTCCATAACAACCTTCAACGTAGAATTGTCACTATTAAGTGCTTTATTACCCGCTTGGCTGTCAGAAAATATTGTTACTGCCTTCAGATTAATTAGAGAATCGATCAACCAACTTGCAGCTTCATTTATTGCTGTTAGTTCAGCCTGAAAAACTCTGCATAGATCTGGCAGACTAAAACTGAGGCTAAGTGAGAGTTTTTGCGAGTATACCCCACTTCCTACCTTCAGATCCAACTTGGAGCCATCAGTGTAGATGACTGTTGAGTCATAATACGATATCAGGACCGAATCCTCCTCCCATTATTCCCTTGAGAGGATCCTTGCCTGGAAATGATTCTTTAGTCCCGTAGACGGGACTGTGTAGTCCAGGCGCCTAAATTCCTCTGGAAGATCTTCCAAAATTCTCGAGTGAGCAAACCTCGTGTCACTCCATTTGATTAGTGCATTTAATCTAATAGCGTTAAAGCTTGCCTGTAGTTTACCATATAGGTCCACAGGTAGCAAGTGAAGCAAGGTCTCTAGGGCTTTATTAGGCGTCGATGGTAACGCTACCGTGATCATCATGCACGCCACCCTTTGTACCTCTGTTAATTTGTTTCTTGTTGTAGATTTATCTACGGACGGCCACCAAACCGTTATGCCGTAGAATAGAATGGGACGCACAACCGCTGTATACATGCAGTTCACAATGTGAGGCTTCAATCCCCATTTTTCCCGTAATCGCCGATTTACAGGCATACATAGCAATTATAGCTTTCTTGCGCCGCCAAGTTAACTTTCTGTCAAGAATAACCCCCCCTATCCATAACTGCCAGGATCAAGTGGTCCTTGGCCACATCATTGAAAGCCCTTGGAGGGTTAAGAGGGCTGTTAGCGTTGGATGTTTTGGGCCTCTTAGAAGCAGCATCCATGTTGTCTGCTGACCGTTGCCGTTTGCTGCCCAGCTCCCTAGGACGAGAGTGAGTGGGTGCAGGTTTGTTGGCGGAATTTCCTTCCTGAGGCCTCTCACGACTTTCGGAGAGAATGCCCCTGGCCCTCTGAACCACTTCCCTCATACTCTTGGGAACCGGGTCATTGCCGAACTTCCTCAGTAGTCTAGAAGCGACTCTTCTGTCTCTATTCGCCCTGATTGCTGGTCGGACTACTTTTTTGGTCCTCGAACCACTGGGAGCTAGGACGCCTTTGCGTTCATCCGACTTCTAACCGTCAAGGGGCTCGCGGTCGGTGGTACTGTCCGTGCAGGACTTCCGGGTGCCAGTATCGCCTTCACCCGGTGCCGCTTTGGAGCTACCCTCAAGGGGTGTACTCACAGCTTCTCGAGATGTGGACAACTGACACCAGAGGCCAATTGGCCGTGCAGGCTCCGCTTGCAACCCAGACGTCAGTTGGCCACTACCCATCAGGGATTTGTTGCTACTGACGCCGGGCGCAACATTCTGTTTACTTTGCCGTTTAGGCTTCTTCGGGACCGATCCAGCGGCTACCGAAGATGTCATTTTTAGACAGACTTTAACTCCGTGTTCGTCGGCGGCATTTTTATCCGTGCAGGGTTCCGGGGCTACATTTATGGAATTCATTTTTCAACTGGTTCGTTGGTCTCCTACTGAGCCGAAACCGTTCGGCGACCGAATATATGGGTAAGGGGAAAAAACTGTCGGCCGGCCATCCAATGGGCACGGTGACGCATGACACCCTGGATTAGGGGGTGTCTTATACCTACCGCCAGGTACCCCCTAGAAATAGCCTAAGTATGCCCTAGCCCCCCTTGAGCGAGCCCTTACGGCCTGCCACTAGACCTAGACGAGGCAGGGGAGTTTATACCTCGGCCTTGGCTAGGCCCCGCCTCTTTGCATCACTGCGGCCATAGGAACATCCTACCTTGCCACAGCGGTGTCGGCACCCGCTAGGAGGATATATCTAGGAGGATTTTCGACAACCAAATTAAATATTGTGTTACATCTCGATTCGTTAGTAGCTTGTTGCTGCACAGATTCTTCCTTTCGAAAAACATTTTTTACAACTACGATCTCTTCTTCAGTAAAAGTTCACACTTTCAAGAAAATTAATTTTTGATTTAAGCTTGGAAGACAGAAACTCACTCAACAATTCGAAATTGTTTCCCAACTGAGTTACAACCGTTCAAGTATATTTACATATTGACTTTTCTCGTTGGTGGAGCTATTTCCATACAAAATAGAGTAAATGCATATCATGAAAAGTTAAATACAAATCAGTAGAATTGGTTGATATCGTTGTGTTTTGTTTAACTAACGACCCCTTAAATTTTGACTGTGATTTAGTCATAACTAATTAAGGAATCAATTCAAAATTTAATCGAATTCAATTTATATCCGAAATTTTTTTTTGCTGTTGTACTTTCAGATCCGAAAGGCCTCAAAGTTCGTAAGTGGACATGTCGGGAGTTCAATGGCAATATCTATGTCTGGTATCACTCAGAAAATGAAAAAAATCGATGGGAATTACCTCTTATAAAATCGATTGAAAACAAAGAGCTAGTTTATCATGGTCGAAATGAATTTTACGTCAATTGCCATATACAAGGTAAAAAAAATATTATATATGGAAATTAATTTTGTACATCTCAGTAAAACTAACCGGGACGTTACATTTTCAATTTTCCCCTTTCTATTTTCAATACACTCACACTTTTTTTTTATTTTATTAACTTGAATAGGCAACTTGCTTTAAATTTTTCCCTTTCAATTGAGTTGCAATTTTGCTTTCAATTTTGTGAAAATAAAAAAATACTAAGCGTCTGCATGCTAAAATGTTAATCTACAATGGAATTAAAAATGGTAAATGGTCTTCAGAAGCTAGTTAGTTACATTGTTTTCTTGAAGACGACTTGTTGATAATGAAATTGCTTCTCAAATTGAATGCAGCCTACGTAATGCGTGCAGTGAAATTGAAAAGCAAAACTGATTGTGTGTCGTTAGCGTAAAGTAAGTAAACCAAGGTTTCCGTAGAAAAGTCACCAGGGTTCCGTAAAATTATTAATTTTTGGCTGTTAAAATTCGATATGAATAAGCACGGCGGGCGGCAGTCGGTTTGAGTTGCACACACGAAGAAAGCTCTATAAGCAGCATGACCGAAACGCAATTTGTATTATATTTTCGAGTTTACAAAGGCCCATCTACATAGAACTTTCGCGTTGGCGTTGGTTTGACAGAATGCACGTTAAAAGTATGCTTTGTACAATAAACCCTTGGCAGCGAATGCTTTGCCCCCTATAAATGAGCATACTAACGATAAATTAATATTTCATATCAATAATTGCATGAGAAACGATCGATTTAATCTGAACATCACGGCCCCTTTTCTCACTTGGCTATTTTTAGTAATAGCTCGACTTCAGCACCACTTGGCATCACGTTTTTGCAATAGTATTGCATACATATTTAAAACATTAGCCAAATCGGATCATCAATACGATTTTTAGTAATAACTCAACTACAGGCGCCAACTGTCGGATTAAATTGTGAAACTAAACCATCCAGAGACCCACTCCAATACACAAAAAGTTTCCTTAAAATCCGTGCAACCATTTAGGAGGATTTCACTCACAAACATACCTACAAAAGAATAAAAAAATTCATTCAAAGATAGCTAAAGGTCGGTAGGTTTGTAGGCCTCACACCCCTTTTCAAATAGCCCAAATTTTCTCCATGAGTATGGGCTTGATTTCAACTACGAAGTTCCAGTACTGTACCATGAATACTTTCAGAGATATGCAGTATAAAAATTCGATTTATATGGGAGGAGCCATACCAAGTTCCAGAACTCTACCATGAACACTTCCAAAGATAGGCAGTATGAAAAATTCGGTTTGTATGGAAGATGCCACGCCCCCTTTTCCAATAGCTCCAATTTTTCTCCATGAGTATGCGATTTATTTCGTACATCTCCATACAAAACTCTAGAACTCTTCCAAAAAATTTCCAGAGATAAGCAGTGTGAAAAATTTAGTTTGTATGGGAGATGTCACACCCCTTTTTACTATAGCTAAAATTTTTCTCCAAGGGTATGCGATTGATTTCGTATATCTCCATACCAATTTCCAAAACTCTACCATGCACACTTTCAGAGATATGTAGCATGAGAAATTCGGTTTGTATGGGAAGTGCCACGCCCCCTTTACATATAGATTATTTTCAGCCTAAAACCATCCTTGGGACACGTGCGGCAGGTGGCAGTTTCAAAAAAATCGGTTCAGCCGCTCTCGAGCCTTGCGAAAACTAACAAACGGCTTTCTAAATATAAGTTATTTGAGATATTTTATATATTATAATTAATTTTAAGCAAATCGGATCGTAAATTCGATTTTTTCGAATAGATCGGTCCCTGGACCACTTCCCGGAAAAAATGGGTCATATATGCTAAAAAGCTACTTACGTACTAAATTTTAAGCAAATCGGACTATAATAAGATTTTTTCGAATAGACCGGTCCCTGGTCTACCTACCCGAAAAAAGTAAAATTTTTTAGCCTAAAACATGGTGGTTACCGAAAGCTAATTGTATACAAAATTTCATGAAAATTGGACCAGCCGTTCGCGAGATTACCTGTTACAAAAAAAAGGGACTTCTCTTTATATAATTAGTATAGATAGATAAACATGCTAAAGAGAAGAGGGCCAAGTATGGAACCCTGCGGAACGCCAGAGTGAATGTACAGAAGATCAGAGAAAATGTTATCAACTTTTACTCTTTGCTTTCTATTACTTAAGTAGCTACTAAGAAATCGCACTGCTAAATCCCCAAAGCCAAACTTTTGTCTAAGTTTCTCACACAACAAGATATGGTTGACAGATTCAAATGATTTAGAGAAGTCTAGGAGACACAGTAGGGTAGGTGACCCTGATCAAACTGCTGACGAACATCATCCAAGACTTTAGTAACAGCGGTTGAGCATGAGTGGCCAGCCCTGAAGCCAGATTGGAGCGGGTTGAGAAGATTATTCTCTTCGATAAACTGTGTTATCTGTTGTGCCATAAGCATTTCAAGAACCTTAGACAATCCGGGCAGAATACTTATAGGCCGAAAATCTGTAAGCAGGGTGGCACCGGGTTTTGTGGGTACGGGAGTCACAGTTGCCAGTGTAAGGTCAACCGAAAAATAGAATCCCTGTGGTATGTACGGTAACAGGTGTTGGCAACCCCGGCCGAGAGAGAGTGAGTTACGCAGTTGAGCTCGTCGGGTGGATGGTGAAATTGTTCTTTTGCTGAAGTTAATAAATTTTCTAACTGATTTTACTTTAATAAATATTAATAAACAGTAACCTTTTAAATTCGAAATGTCATTATAAATGAATCGGCGGTATTTCATTTGAACGGAATCCTGACAAAATAAAAGTGTTAAAGATCCCTTTTAGCTCAGAAGTGAGACGCTTCTCACAGCCTCACAGTGTGTGTTAATGTCGATGTTGGTGTAAGCAATTTCACGTACGAATGGACGTGCGATTGAATATTACAACCAAAAGAATTGTTTTTGTGATCTGATCTGTTTGGTGAAGCAGAAAAGAAAAGCAAAATAATAAAATAAAAAGAAGATACCGTGACGGTTTGCATTTGAATTGCTACAGAATTGTTTTTGTGATCTGCTTGTTGCGCGTACGAATGGACGAGCGGTCGGCGACACGAAGTAGAAAATAGTTTGCTAGAAGACATAGTGGCGGTTTGCGTTTGAATCACATTCGGTGTTGTGTAAAACTTTCAAAATTGGCGATCTCGAGTACGAATGAACGAGAGGTTGACTAGCCGAAAGAGAGACAGTGACGGTTGTGTGTTGTTATTGCCACAAAAATTTCAAATGTGTATCCGAGTGGACGAACAAAGCAAAATAAAATAAAATAAGAATCTAATAAGAATACTCGCTCTAAACAAAAATTGCAAAATGAAGATAAAAGTGGCCACATTAAAAGTTGACGAGCTGAAAGAGCAGCTACGTAATAATCATTTACTAAAATCGGGTACAAAAGCCGAATTGGTACTGAGACTTTGCAATTTCTTAGACAGTGATGAAATTGAAAGTGAAAATTCAGAACCTGATTTACAAATGCAAGTAAATGATCTGCGTTCGATGATGCAAAATATAATGGCGACCATGCAAAGCTTGGCCGGTCAAATGCAGCAAGCAAATGTACAAGCAGTGCATGAAAGTTTTAATGAAGAGCGTTTGGTTATTTCACCACAAAACCCAGCAAGAACAGTGAGCCGAAGTGCAAGTGTGAACGAAATTTCCGAAACAAATCATGAGTATGACCCAACTAGCGAGAGCTCGCTTAAAGTGACACAAACAGAGTGGACAGTGCCATAAGTGCATACGACTGGGACGAAAAGTGTTTACTTTCGGCCATGTACAGTAAATTAAAGGGTGTTGCGCGAATGTGGTTGGATGCAGCACTAACATTTCATTCAAATTGACCTGATTTGGCAAGAGCTTTGAAAAGTGAATTCGGTTGCGAATTTAATGAAGCGGAAATACACTATAAAATGGCAAGTGCGACACGTAAACAAAATGAAAAAATCATAGATTATTGTTTTAGAATCAGTGCACTCGGTCGACGGTATGGTCTGACTGAAAGTTCGATTATAAAATACATTCGCGACGGATTAAAACACCGTGATTTGCAGACCGCAATAGCTGCATTGAAGTTTAATACAATTAAAGAGATGCGCGAAACAATTGAAACTTACCTCCAAAATTTATCATCGACCAAACAATTCAAAAACGAGTATACGAGTGATCGAAATAAAGACAGTGTAAAAGACATAAATCGAAGTGCGGTTGAAGCAAAATGCAAAGACTGTAGCAAGTTCCACGGTAGTGGCGAGCCAGAAAATTGTGAAAAAAGCAGTAATTGTTAAGCATGCACAGTCCAGCAACCAGCGAAATTTTGCGAAAAATCCATCTCTGTAAATGGTAAGTCGTTAGTAGCTTTTGTAGACACTGGAAGTGAATGCAATATGATACGACGATCAGCGGTAGACAGTTTGAATACCAAGTAGTATCCATGCGCTATAGAAATAATAGGTATTTGCGGAAGTAAACGTGCATCCACAGACAAGATTAACGTTAATATGACATTTGATGATGTGGCTTTAAAGGTTGATTTGTTCATTGTTAAGATGACATATTATCCATGGACGTACTTTTGGGGCAAGAAATTTTCAAAAATAGGAGACTGGATATACAGCATGCAGCATCAAGATAAAGATATTCGCGCTATTCTTGAGAAATTAGCCAGTGGTGACAACGTTATTACCGAAGAGTACAAAGTCGAAAACGGCGACTTTACAGGAAGCAGAAAGGTACTAAACTGTGGGTAGTACCAAAAGCAATGCGATATAAAATCATACAGAACGTTCACGAAAAAGTTAAGCATCTTAGCACGGAGAAGACTTTAGAAGAAGCACAGAAATATTTTTGGTTTCCCCGTATGCGTAATTTCACAAAATCTTTTATAAAAGCATGCATCGAATGCGCATGCAATAAGCAGCGACGAAATTGAACCTGTACCATTCAAGACGGTACATATCGACCA